TATATATATATATATATATATATATATATATATATATATATATTTGTGTGTGTGTGTGTATAGAGCTCTGGTGACTCGGTGCCTAAGGCATTTGACTGCTAACCAGAGGTTTGCCTTTCAAACCCTTCAGCTGCTCTGTGGAAGGAAGATGGGGCAATCTACTTCTGTAAAGATTTACTGCCTCAGGAACCCAAAAGGGGTTGCTATGAGTTGGAATTGACTCGAAGATAGTGAGTTTTTGGTTTGTATATGTATATGCGTGTAAGTATACACGTGCACACACACACACACACAGAAAAAAAAACAAACTCACTGCCATTGAGTTGGATCCGACTCATAGCGACTCCTCCTTGGGTTTCCCAGGCGTTATCACTACAGAAGTACATTGCCAAATCCTCCTTCGTGTGTGTGTGTGTGTGTGTGTGTGTAACAACTTGCAAATGCCCCAGATTCTGTTGTGATGTTTCTGTTTGCATTCTTGCTGGAGCTTGGCTCTCTCAGTGATGGAAACTACAATCATTCTGGAGTGCAATTGTTGGGGAGACAGGGAGTGATCCAGGCTCCCACAAATATATGGGCAGGTAGTAAGTGCAGAATGAAATTGGAGTTTTGGTCTGTCTCTACCCCCTGTAGGCTCCGTGTGACCTTGGGTGAGGTAATTCCCTTTCTGACCAAGTCTTGCCACTTAATAATTATTTGAACATTTGCATAACGCTTTTAAAATGCATAAACGAAGCATTCTTCCCATTTCCCAGAGGGGTACAAAAAGATGGGAGAACGGGAAGGTTCAAGGTCCTTCTAGAAGCTCAGGCTGGCTTGTGAAATGCAGCCCAGACCTCATCGACCTCAGGGGCAACCTTTGCATGCCCGGGCTCCATATAGCTTTGGCCATACTGCCCCTCGGGCATCATTTATGAGTCCAGCTGAGCAGAGCGGGGTGGAGCGCAGGGAGGTAGGGTCATACTCTTCCTCCCTTCCGGATGTCTCATCTTGGGGTCTGCATGGGAGTAGCGCACTGAGTAAGTACAAGCGGATTTGCTTATTGTAGACACAGACTCCCAGTCCACAGAATGAATGTGTGTGTGTGTGTGTGTGTATCTCCGGATAATTCACTGCCAGCTCCACCAGAATGGAGTCCAGCCCCGGTCGTCTCCACTCCCCAATATTCTGCTTTCACCTCCGCGAAGGTTTCTGGGTGTCTGTGTGTGGCGGTAGGCTATGGGAAGGGCAGTGCTGAGAAGAGATGGGAGGTTCGAAAAGCACCCACCTCCGCCCAACAAATTCCCCGCCCAAACCAAAAGGGGGGCGGGAAGAGCGCGGTGGGGGAGTGTGTTCCCTCCTCTTCCCTTGCGGCCTGAGAAGGGGACAGGGTGATCATTCTTTCTTTCTCTCGACATTTCCTTCCTCCTTTTTTCCCTTCTGTGTTTCTTTCGCTGGTTCCATTTTTTGTTTTCTTCCAATGTCTCTGTCTTCCTCCTTCTGTGTTTTTGACCCTCCCAGTCTGTATTTCCCAGGCACACCCCCCTCCCTCTTCTCCCATTACAGAGACCCCTTATCCGTCTGGCCCCGGCCCCACCCTGCCTTCAGGCCCCTAGGGTGGGTGGGTGTCCACGTGTCTCTAAGTTGTCCGCCCCGTCTCACGGTTCGGTGCATTGCTCTCTCTGCCAGTCACCTCCTCACCCCACCCCCAGGCCCGTAGGCCTGGGCGGTTGTAAGAGCTGGTGTCTGCTTGTCTGTCTGCCCGCAGGATGACCGAGCGGCCGCCGAGCGAGGCGGCACGCAGTGACCCCCCGCTAGAGGGACAGGACGCGGCCGAGGCCCGCATGGCCCCTCCGCACCTTGTCCTGCTGAACGGCGTCGCCAAGGAGACGAGCCGCGTGGCCCCCGCGGAACCCCCTGTCATCGAGTTGGGCGCTCGCGGCTGCCCGGGGGGCGGCCCCGCCGGTGGGGGCGGCGCCGCGCGAGACTTAAAGGGCCGCGACGCGGCTGCGGCCGAAGCGCGCCATCGGGTGCCCACCACCGAGCTGTGCAGGCCTCCGGGCCCCGCGCCGGCGCCCGCGCCCGCCTCGGCCCCTGCGGAGCTGCCTGGAGACGGCCGCATGGTGCAGCTGAGTCCGCCTGCGCTGGCGGCCCCCGCCGCCCCCGGCCGCGCGCTGCTCTACAGCCTCAGCCAGCCTCTCGCCTCACTCGGCAGGTCAGGGCGGCCGCTGGCACCCGGTCTCCCCTGGGCATTTCAGGAGCCGACTGCTATCCTCCCCGTGGGAGTGTGCGGGTGGAGCGCAAAAAGGGAGAAGGTTCTTTTAAACCCAAGGGCGTTGTAAAGCCCCAGAAGCTGGGGCCCCGCGTGTGAGAGTGCGTGTGTGTGGGAGAGGAAGGCAGATGTCGGGATGCTCTGTGACTCTGTTGTGGCGGGTGGAGAGGAGAGGGTGTGCACTTCTTCAGGGTGCTGGCATGTGCTCGTACAGTACTAGATGGATAGTGTGCTGTGTATTGGTGGGAGAGAAAGGAAGAAGACGGTGAGTGTGGTCCCAGGCAAGAGTGTGTCTGAATGCGTTTCCTCGTGAGTAGAGGTGGACATTTGTTGCTGATGAGTGTGAATGTGTTCTGGAAGCTGCAGCCCTCTGTGGACAGGTAAGAGGTAAGGCTCTGAGGGTGTTTGCAAGAGGACACCCTCCTCTAATCTGTGTGTGTGTGTGTGGGGGGGCGGTGTTGGAGCTGATTCTCTTGTTCCCTGAGCCCCTTTCTGTCCCTAGCTGAGACTTCTGGTCGTGACTTTTTTTGTGTTAGGGCATCCATTTCCCTGCTGGGGCCACTATCATGGTGGAGAGATGAGGCAGGAATGGGACAGGGGACAAAAAAATGAGATGCACACAGAAAGATGGTGGAGACATGCAGAGAGTCAGGGAGAGACCCTGAGAAAGAAGCCATGAGAGTCTATAGTGGGGGATGCCATAGATGCTGGGGGTGCAAGTCAGCAGTGGTGAGACTGGGGTAGTGAGTCAGGGTTTCCTGCCTGTTCTCTGTCCATAGGCCCCATGGGGCCAGGGTGAAGGGAAGGGGGTGGGGCAATATGCCCTTTATGGTGCTTGAGTTGCACATTATTAGAGCTTGAAGGCCAAATCTACTCGTATGTACCCTTCGTTGGGGGTGGAGGTTTCAGTGTGGAATGTGTGCTTGTGTCTGGAGGATGGAGTGTGTCTGTCTGTGGTGTATGTGTGTTTATTTTTGTGTTTGCTTCATGTGTTCACCTCTGCTTTTTTTGGGTTTTGTTTTTGTGTGGAGGATGCATGGGTATGTGTCCCCTCCTCTCTTTGCTTGTCTCACCATAGAGAGAAGGTGGAGAGCATCCTGTGTGTGTTTGTGTGTGTGTGTGTGTGTGTGTATAATGTTTCTGCCCCAGTTTAAGTGTTAACGGATGAGTTGGCCTTTGTTTTTCTGGGGAGGGGCATTCACGCGGGGGAGATCACTGAAGGGCCTCTTTCTCCTCTCTACATGTGATCTTGTGATCTGACCTGGACCTTCCCACAGTGGGTTCTTTGGTGGGGAGCCTGATGCCTTCCCTATGTTTGCCACCAACAATCGCATGAAGAGGAGACCCTCTCCCTATGAAATGGAGATTACTGATGGTGAGTTTACCCTACCCTTACCTGGGTACCCACCCCTCATGTTAGCTAGAGCTGGCTGAGGGAGAGCTCTATTCTGTAGGCATCTCACAGAGATGAGTGGGCCACCTTGGACCCTCAAGCTGAAAAGCCCCTCACTCTCAATTGACCTGGGATCAGGGGACATTGTGATTGGGGCTGAAGAGCCACACACACAGACCTGGGAAGAGGGGACATGAGGGAGAACATATAGTGGCACTTAATCCAAACCTCTGGCATCAGTTTCAGTTCCAACTCTGGGTTTCATTCTCTGGGATCAGTTCTAGTGCCTGTTCTGGGCTCCATTTCTACATTTTGATGAGGATCCCAGGGTAGGGGATCCTCTGACACATGGTGTCCCCTGACTCTACTCATTGACCCTCAGGGATTGCCTGCCCTTCCTCCCCAAAATTTCTCTGGTCCTCTTTGGAGTCTGGGGTCTGCTCCTCTCCTGGAATTGTATCTTCAAGGTCTCTTCCCAGACCACTCCACTATGGGACCTTCTTGTTCCCTGTTCCACACTCTGGGCAGAGACCTAGAATTTGCTTCCTGATAAAGCAGGTTCTGTCATCCCCTAGCTTTCTTAGGGAGGAGTGGGGGGCTTGGCCCTGCTATTGTGAACTGCCTGAATACTCTTGGGCCCTGAACTTGGGCAATGTGTAGGAAATTTGGAGAAACTCAGCTCCCTCCCTGTTTTCTATGACTTGATGCAGTAGATGGGGCCCAGCACCAGGGGGCAGGAGAGCAGGCTCTTCAGACTTGAGGGACTGAGCCAATCCTCAGAGACCTCAGGGCTTCAGCTTGGCTGGGGCTTGGGGCTACTGGAGGAAGGGCAGCCTGAGGCCTTGAGCCAGGCTGAGACTTATGGAAAGAGCTGGCGGTGGTGGTGGTGGTGGGGGGATATGTATTGAGTGTGTACTGTGATCTTTTGGAGAGGAGCTCTCTATGGTTTCTGCAGAAGAAAAGGCTGGCAACTGGACAATAGAACAGATTTCCAAAAGATCCAACCCACCTGAGTCACAGAGTATAGAGCCAAGAAGGAAGGATGATGGGAGTGTCAATGCTGCTAGGTTAGAAAGAGGTTCATAAGTCTTGGGAGATGGGTGTAGTCAAATAGGAAATGGGCAGGAGCAGTTCTGAAGTTCCCCAGGGAAGAGGCATTCTCTACAAGGGCAGAGGAGTTGGAAAATAAGTCACAGTTTGTGTGTTTGTGTGTGTGTGTGTAGGGAGGAGATGAGGGGGGAGGTTTGGAGGGGAGTACTGAAGTATAGGGAAACAATTACCCATAAATGTTATAAGTATTTACTGAGCACCTATTTAGTGCCCAAGGAGCTCTGGTGGTGCAGTGGTTAAGGCATTTGGCTGCTAACCAAAAGGTTGATAGTTTGAATCCCATCAGATAATCCATGGGAGAAAGATGACACAATTAGCTTCTATAAAGATTTACAGCCTTGGAAACCCAATGGGAGTTGCTATGAGTTGGAACTGACTCAATGCCAGTGAATTTTTTTTTGGGGGGGGTAATTAGTGCCCAGCCAAGGTACAAGGGGGTGAAGTGATTTTAGGGCATGGCTCAGAGAAGGTGCTGAGGAAATATGAATGCTCAGCCCCTCTCATCTCCTTCCCTTTGTTGTTAGGAAGCTATGGAAAGATTTTGGGGATGTCTTGGTTCTCTACTGCTGCTGTAACAGAAATACCACAAGTAGATGACTTTAACAAACAGGGATTTATTTTCTTACAATTTAGGAGTCTAGAAGTCTGAGTTTAAAGTGTGGCTCGAGGGGCTGGATGGAGACACCTAGATCTTGAGCTTCAGCTCTGCCTCCTGTTTCAGGCCCACTAGAGCTGGAGGTGTTTTCTGGCTCATGCAGCTGCTGGCTGCTGAGGCTGATGAACCCAAGATTGACAATAAAATGGCACAGTCCCATGATTAGCAAGCAACATGGCAAGCCACTAGTTCCAGTTCAGAAACAGTCTCAAGATCGGCAGGCAACATGACAGGCCACTGCTGATGCAGCCAAATGCAGGATCCAGATGTGCCAAGAAGTTCAAGACCTTTCCTAAAGTTTCTCCATACATACTGGAAGCAGGCCACACTTCAGAGGCAGCTGCTGAACTGTTCACAGCAGATTCCACCATGAAGATGATTATAATCTCATCATGGGGAATAACTATAGCCAGCTGCCCAGCCACTCAAACCATGACCAAGCTAAGATGACACACAACTTTACTACAGAGGACTATGAGCTCCTCTTCACTGGAGACTGAGGAGCTCTGGTGGTATAGTGGTTAAGACATTTGGCTGGTAACCAGAAGGTTGGCAGTTCGAATCCACTAGCTGCTCTGCTGGTGGAAGAAAGATGAGGCAATCTGCTTCTGTAAAGATTTACAGCCTTGGAAACTCAATGGGGGTTGTTATGAGTCAGAATTGACTTGATGACAGTGAGTTTACTGGAGTCTGGAACTCCTTAACACCAAGGATCTTGTTTGTCTTATTCATGACTCTATTCATAGATCCCAGTAGAGAGCTGGTCACAGAGGTCTGCAAGTAATTATTCAAAGGGTAGGGTGGGGGCAGGGAAATAGTTGATAAAAATCATTGCTACCATTTATTGAAAACCTACTATGCACCGTGGACTTTGTGTGTTCAATTTTGAGTTAATTCTCACCACAAAACATAAAGTAAATAATTATTATTGTTTCCATTTTACAGATAAGGAAATTGAGGCTCAGAGAGGTTAAGCAGCCTGCTCAAGATCACACAGCTGAGACCTGGACCATCCCCATAGCATTGGTCTGAGTCCTGACCTCCCCATACCCTCCCTTTCTAGAGTCTATTTAGCTTTAACTATGACAGCAGTCATAATACCCCTGCCCCCCCATCTTCCCCATTCAGGGGCTCCCTCAAGACCACCAGGCATAGCTAAGCAAGGGTACAGAGACTGGTCCTCCCTGTACCCTAGTGGAGGGATCCCCTCCATCTGGTCTGGAGGTCAGAGAATAGCAACTTGTTTCATCTGAGGCAGCTCTGGGTAGGACTGGTCAGCAGGTGTGCTGTGTTTTTCCCAGCCTGGATCTGGCCTCTGGGAAAGTGTTAAATGGGTTGTGGCCTGGTGGGATTTGGAAAGATAGCTTCAGAGGCATTGTGGCCAGGGGAAAACGTGGTTTCTGTGTGTTGTTATTGTTGTTGTTGTTGAGCGCCATTGAGTTGATTCCAACTCACAGCAGCCCCATGTGACAGAATAGAACATGTTGTTGTTGTTGGGTGCTGTTGAGTCAGCTCGGACTCATGTAGGATAGAGAAAGGGAGACTTTCAAGCAAGAAGTGTCAGCATGGATCAGCTGGGCCACAGGACTGACCATTGAGGGAAAATCTGCCTCTGTGGCAACAAGGGGACTTAGATATAAGTGTTAGTCCCTCTCCTCCCCTTCTTGGGGGTTCCTAAGAGAGGGCAAATAAATATCCCAGGACTGGCAGTGCATGGAGCTTCCTGAGGACTGCTGTGAGCCTCAGTGTTGGGGAGGGAAGCTGCCTCAGCTCAGGAGCTCAGGAGCACTAGCAGGCCCCTCCTCCATCTTCCCTTGCCTTTGGGAATCCCAGGTCAGGCACAGTGCTCTGAATACTGTAGGTGGTTGATATATGACTCCAGCAGGAGTCTGTCACTACTCTACAATCTCAGTATACAGACTACTAGTGAATATTCGTCCTGTCCATAATAATCTGCATTGTAGAAAAGGGAGACTGAGGCAGCCCTCAGAAGACTACCTTGTCTAGAACTTCAGGCTGTTTATGACTGTGCATGACTCTCCTTGAGGAAAGAGCCCATGGGGGAAGGTCTTTGCCCTCTCTGCCATTCACTACCTGCCACCACAATAAGTCAGTCAACAAATATTGACTAAACCCCTACTCTGCCTTCCATCACCCTTGGAATAAAATCCCTACATTTTACTTCAAGGCCTATGGAGTTTGGACCCTATCTACTTGGATCTTGTGTGTGTTGTTCTAGCCAGTGATACTTTCTGGGAAAACATGGTTTACAAGTGTGTGTGTGTGTGTGTGTGTGTGTGAGAGAGAGAGAGAGAGAGAGAGAGAGAAAGAGGGAGAGAGAGAGAAAAGTCTAGGCCGATTTGCTTTAGCCATTCTCCAGGTCAGAGCCTTAGCACGTGTTGTTCCCTCAGCTTAGATGCTCTATTCTTTTGATTCCTCTGTGTGACTGGTTCTTCAACCTTAAGTTCTTATAAGTGTTACCTCCTCAGAAAGACCTTTCCAACCACTTTAATGTAGTGACTCCTTTCTTTCTATCCTTCACTTATTCTTTAGCCCATTATTTGTTTTTCATTTGCTTGATACTTATTCATCCCCATTAGACAGATTCCCCCATCTGTCATCCCTGTTAAAATGTAATCTCCATGAGGGCAGGGCCCATATCTGTTTTGTTCAATATTCATCTTTAGTGCTTGCCATGGTACCTCGTTGTTAGTAAACATCTGCCGATGAATAATAAGTTAACATTTGGTGGTGTAGTGGTTAAGGCATTTAGTTACAAACCAAGAGATCGATGGTTTGAATCCACCAGCTGTTCCACAGAAGAAAGACGGGGCAGTCTGTGCCTGTAAGGATTTACAGCCTTGGAAACCCGATGGGGGTCACTATGAGGCAGAATCTATTTGATGGCAGTGAGTTTTTTGAGTTATCGTTTATTGAGTGTTTAATCTGAGGCAAGTATTGTCTTAAGCACTTACTAGTTATTAGATCCATGTAACAACATTATGACTTGAGTTGCTGGCATTATCTCCATTTTACAAATGATGAACTAAGGCACAGAACATTTAAGTAACTTGCCCATAATCACGCAGCTAGTGATTAATAGGAATTGAACTAGGAAGTTCAGCTCCAGACTCTGTCTTCCTAACTAGTATGTTATGTGGCCTCTTGGTGCATGTGAATAAATGAATGAATGAATAGCATGATCCCTGTCCTCAATGTCTTATAGTCCATAAGAGGAGAAACAGGAAGTTGTAATCTAGAGTGATGGAGATAAACGGACCGTAGGTCCATGGTAGTTGGTTAGATATGTGTGTAGGGATTGAGGGAAGGCCTCAGAGAGGAGAAAACATAGGAAATGGATTCTGAAGGATGAATAAGAATTTTTTTAAGCAAAAGGGAAGAAGACGTACTAGGTTTCCCAAGTTACCCGGTGGATTTTTTTATTTTTCCCCTACAGATTCCCCTTGAGGAATCTCTGGCCCATTCTCCTAACCCTTGTCCTCCTACCTCCCCAGGTCCCCACACCAAAGTTGTGCGGCGCATCTTCACTAATAGTCGTGAGCGGTGGCGACAGCAGAATGTGAATGGGGCCTTCGCTGAGCTCCGCAAGCTGATCCCCACACATCCGCCAGACAAAAAGCTCAGCAAGAATGAGATCCTCCGCCTAGCTATGAAGTACATCAACTTCCTGGCCAAGCTGCTCAATGATCAGGAGGAGGAAGGCACCCAGCGGGCCAAGCCTGGCAAGGACCCGGTGGTTGGGGCTGGTGGGGGTGGAGGCGGGGGAGCGGGTGGTACAGCCCCAGATGACCTCCTGCAGGACGTGCTCTCCCCCAACTCCAGCTGTGGCAGCTCCCTGGATGGGGCAGCCAGCCCAGACAGCTACACAGAAGAGCCAGCCCCCAAGCACACAGCCCGCAGCCTCCATCCTGCTATGCTGCCCACCACTGATGGAGCTGGCCCTCGATGATGGGTCCGGGTCAACCTGGGACCAGCCAGGAGGGTACCCTCAGGCCTCTGGGATGGTGGGCTTCAGGGCAGATGGGGCAAGCCTTGGGCAGCCCTGAAGTGGGCAATAGACTTGATGAGCTTTCCTTGATGTCTGAACTTTGGGAAGCCCTAACTGACCCCGGGGCTGGCTTTTCTGTTTCCTGCCCCAAAAGGAGAACAGAAAAATGGAGCAAAGTGGTAGGTACTTTTTATGAAGACGGCACGGCCTTCCCCTTTCCCCGAATCCCTAAGACTTCCCAAGTAAGAGGCTCAAGGGTCAATGCTTTTGGCCTGGAGTTTGGGAGCCCTGCCTTTGCTGAGACCTAGAGTTGTAAGCTCTCCCCTGAGGCATCTACAGGCCTCTGCCTTGCCTTCAGTCCCTCCCATGCTGGCTGGGGTGGCTTGTGTAGCCACTTCTGTCCAAATACATAGGTACCCAATAGCTACCCATTTTTTTAAGCCCCATCTTCACCTAGGCCATGCTGATCCATCCAGCCCGCCAGCTGCTGCAGAGTCCCAAGACTTGAGGTGCCTTCTTCAGGGCCTGATTGAAGAAGATGGCCAGTGGACAGCCTGTTCTCAGCTAGCTGGCCCAGAGAGCCCAGTAGTCCTTATTCCTTGCCCTGGGGATCAAAGCTCTGCTCTGTCCCCACTAAGACTTGCCTTCTTGATCCTTGTGGCTGTGGGGACTGAGTCTGCAGCTGTGAGTATGCCCTGTTGGGCTTTGAGTGAAGGCAGAGAAAGGGCTCTGGGAAAATGATACAGAGTAAAATGAAGCTAAAGATATTATGTGAGCTTCAAACCCAGCTGGCTTCTCAGAGTGACCTGCCTCTATTCTCAGCTACATGTCACTGTTCATGCTGGTGGGCATGTGCCAGGGTGCTGATGGCATATGCTGGTGCTGAGTTGATGTAGCCCTGTCTGGGCATTTTCCTAGATGCTTAGAGGGACCTCCCTGCTGCAGGATATCTGTTTGCTGACAGTCTGGTCTGTGTCCTGAATTGAGCACAGACTCCGCCCTATGAATTCCTTGCATCTGGGATTTTTGTTTAATTTCAATTATCATTGGGAATTTTAGGTCTCGATATGACCCAGGATATAACCCCACTACCAGGGCTTGGAAAGTCCAATCAGATACCAGGCCCTTGCTGAAACCCAAACATACGCATATTCACTTAGCGGAATCTTCAACATCCCTCGACTGTGAAGCTTTCAGTCATCAAAGGTGTGTATGGGAGGTTGGCTTCATGCAGTAGGAGTAAACCCCTCAAAAAGTTGTACATGAAAGTTTTTGTAAATCAAATCCTTACCCTTCACCTTTTAAAGAAATATAACAGCAAGTCCTTTTGTAAAATGAAGAATCCTTTTGTAGAGTTGACCACTGCCCCCTCTTTCATCTTCTGTGTCGATCCAGATGGTAGGATGTGATATTCATAAGGCTAGGCCTGCCTGTAGCCTGCATTCCAAGCCCATGGAACCATCTACACAGAAGCTCTATATACCTGTCATTGTATCCTCAAGTCACCCTCGGCACTCTCCCACCAAGTTCTGCCTTTGAGGTCAGAGGAAAATGACGGTATGGCTCTGCTCTGTTGTGCAAGAACCCATCATTCTGGCTGCCCAGAAAGCCCCTTACACATCTTGAGTTTGAGCACAGTGGGTTGCCCTGGCCATGATGGGGCCTCAAGTCCAGTCATATGTAGTCAGGGAAATGATCCCTATTCCTTTTCCCTTGTTTTTAAGTTGTGAGGTCCAGTTCTTGGGGATGGGAGTAATGTGGTTAACCCTGTGACACTCTGACTCTTCATCCCACTTCAGCTCCTGAAATCATATTTTGATGAATATTAGTTAACATTGATTCCTTTCCAATGCTTGGAAGGGCTTTTGAGGAATCCCATCTGTCTAAAGATGGAACAACTGTCCTAGGTTCTGAGACTATGCTTGCTTCCCAGTGAATGAATTTGATTTGGGATTGGAAAGTCACCACACTGTAGGTGGGAGTGTGGATTTTACAAGATGGATTACACATTCCATAAGGAACTCAAGTTTGCAGTTTCCTCTTCTCCCAGACTTTCAGTGTGACCTGGATAAATTATCTGAGCATCAGTTTCTCATCATACCCTGGCCTGGCTTTTCTGTTAGGACTGTGGATTGAATGAGATCATGAAAGTAGAAGGGATTTGAGATAGGAAGAGCTGTGTTGCCCTCAATATCAGTCCTGCAGTGGGGTTTCTCAAGCTGACTCCAGGACCTGGGCAGTGATGTAGGCTGCTTGAGTGCACAGCATTTGAGTAATTGAGATTCTAAACCAGTTTTGTCTGAGTTATCTTGAGTGTCCTCATTTCTCTAGATCTCTAGATGGTCTTCATTTCTGTCTCATTCCAAAGCAAGGAGTGAGAGTAGAAAAGAGGTATGAGAACATGGACAGAATGTACAATGTACTGCAACTACTCAAAATGGTCCTGGGGTAGAAAAGGGTAAGGCTCAGGTCTTTGTAAGAACTAAAGAAGAAAATATACAATTTTAATTTTCATTTCTACTTATTACCCTCAGACCCCTTTCTTCCCTCTACCTCCTCCTTACCCCTTGAAGAAATGGTAACATTCCAAGAGTAGTATCTGTACTAAAGAGGAAAAAATATATAAAATTAAAAAAATTTTGAGGAGAAAACAGAAAGAATGTGTACTATGAAACATTCTGAGAACAAAGATGAATGTAAGACTGGGGAAATCACACTTTTTAAGAAAAATACATATTCTTTTATTTGTAGTTGAAAATGACAAGATGGTACAACCTTTATCCTTTTCCAAAAATAAAACAAAGGGCACAGCATCTTAGTAAGCCAACAGCTATTTTGGCCTTTTGGTAGTGGGTCTAGCCGTACTTGTGATTTCAGTGGTACGTGGCCCCCTGCTAAAGGCTTGCCCCCTGCCCATGTACATAACACAGTGTTTCTGTGGGCAGGCCCAGCACTTTCCGTCAATGTTGTACTGTATGTGTTGAATTGCGTTGGTCTCTGCATTTTTCTGCAGAAGAGGAGTAACCGCTCCAGGTACCTTGACCTTTGTATAGCCCTGAAGCCAACACTGTGGGCGTGTGACCCTTTAGCGAACAAACTCATGTGGTGATGACGTGTATGTATATATATATATGTGTATAATATATATATATATATATATATATAAGGATATATTGGGAAGATTTCTAAATAAAAGTTTTACAAAGGGTCTTGGACTCTGTGCTTGCATTTTGCACCTCTAGGTCTGACAGTTGGGATATTAAAAGAAAAACTTGGCAAGAACCCGTCTCCTCTGAAATGGGAGGGACTGTAGGGAGCATTTATAGTTCAGTGGTAGAATTCTCACCTTCTGTGTGAGAGACCCAGGTTTAATTCCTGGTCCATGCACCTTAAGCACAGCCTCTGCCAGTGGAGGCTTATGTATTGCTATGATGCTGAACAGGTTTCAGCAGAGCTTCTAAGACAGACTCTACAGAAAGACCTGGCAATCTGCTTCCAAAAATTAGCCAGTGAAAATCCTATGGGTCACAATGGTGTGATCCATAACTGGCCGTGGGGACAGCGCAGGACCGGGCAGTGTTTCCTTCCACTGTGCATAGAGTCACTATGTGTTGGAGGCAGCTCAATGGAAGCTAACAATAGTAACAATACCCTGAGGCCAAGGGGTCCCTGGGTGGTGCAGACCATTAAAGTGCTTGACTGTATTGAAAGGTTAGTAGTTCAAGTTCACCCAGAGATGACTTGGAAGAAAGGCTTGTGATACACTTCTAAAAAATCAACCATTGAAAACCCTATGGACACATGGTGTCATTATGAGTTAGAAAGGACTTGATGGCAACTTTTTTTTTTTTTTTTACCCTGAGTCTGGCACTTGTTGGGAGGAGAGAGGCTTCTCCTTTGGGGTTCTGATACTGTTTCCTCTATGGCCCAGTTTTACAGAGGGCTCTCTCTCCAGCATTGTGCACCCATGCTTTTAGCTCCGGGCAGCTCCAGTGATATTACCTTCTTTGTGTTGGGCTCAGCTTCCATGGCTGGGACAGCTGCTCTTATCATAGGATCAGCCAGATTAAGGTCACACTGGGGGTGGGGGTGGTGTCCTAGGCTCTCCATTCACTCAGTGGAGGCTGCAGCTCTTATGCTTGGATTGTGAAAAGTGAGGGGTCCCATAGGTTTCATGTGGGGCTCAGGGACCAAGGCTGAAGGCATAATGATTGGAGTCTCTGGGGTAGACATCATATCCCCTGGGAGAGTTTCCCGGGAGACTCAGGAATCAAAAAGCAGTTCACAGGCATGGCTCGGGGTTCTGGGGAGCCCACTGCCTGTGGGCCGTTTGATATTCAGAGATCTCAGTAGGTATGCCAGACACTTCCAATAGAATGCCAATCCTTCCTTCTTCCTTTCATTCATTTGACAAATATTTATTGAACACCTATTACAGCTTAGGTAATTAACTGTGTTCAAACTCTGGTGTTGGTGAAAAATATTGAATATACCCATGGACTACAAAAGGAATGAACAAATCAGTCTCAGAAAAAATAAGCCAGAATATTCCTTAGAAGAGAAGATGGTGACTTCGACTCACTCTCAGCACGTCATCAGTAGAGACCAATAGCTAGAAAAGGAGAGGGCAGAGTATCAACAATAACGAGGGAAACCCTCAGTGAGATGGACTGACACAATAGCCACAGCCATGGGCTCAAACATACCAATGATCATGAAGATGGCACAGGACTGGACAACTTTCTGTTCTGTTATACATATGGTTGCTGTGAGATGGAGCTGACATATGCCAACAACAACAGCATTGTTCTAGGTACTGAGGATCTAGCAGTGAATAAGAACAAAGATCTTTATTCCCATTGAGCTTAAATTCCAGCAGGGGAGGCAGTAACACACACACAATAAATATGTTGATTATTTAGTAAATTAGAAGGTGATTAAAAAAAAAAAAAACACTGTCA